TTTCAGAAATTTGAATGTACTTATTGTTAACGACGTGACAGAGTACGAATAAGCAAATGAATAAAGTGCTCTTATAACAGAACGAGAGGTTCAAAACCGATTCGAAATTCTTAGATTTTTGTCTCATAAGGTGAAAAAGTTATTTACCAATTACTTTTTAATTAATTAATTTTAATTTAGCGTGAGCTCCAAAGAGCCAGCGTTTTTACATATGTTTATGCTAAAAGAATTGAAGTCAAATGAAGCATGAGTATGTCTCGTTTTCTCTGAACTTCTCAATTTAATTTTTGTCTAAATTTAAAACCAACTAGCAAAAATATTTCTTATGTGAACTCCAATTTGACAGATAGATTTTACTAAAATTGACTCATTCATTCTTTGAATAAATAATTGATCATTCTATCTTTGAGACTACGCTTGACTTTCTGAAATGTAGGAAATATCAAGGAAGATGAGAAATATCTTTGCCTCAACTCCACTTCTAATCTATTCATAATATTATTTTTTTGCTTTTACACTGAAGTGGGGATCAAAAGTATAAGACATTTTTTATTTTTATTTTGTTTTTTCTGTGCACAGAAAAAAAACGAAAAACAAGAAGTGTCTTAAACTTTTGATTCCCACTTTAGAATCGTTGAGCGAGATACATATCCAAGATGAGATATTATATCTCATACTACACTGACATCTTTCAAAACAAGTGTAGATGTTCTGTGTGCCTTTCCACCCTTATTTTCAGTAAAATGATGCGCTTCATATGTGATCTTTCTGTTACCATTCTCACTCTCGAACAATAAAGATAGTTATGTGACATGCATGTACCTCACTTGTTTCGGTTTTCTGATACGTTATACCACTGCATTCATAATTATATGAGTTGTTATTTTAGCTACTAGCCCTTTGTACAATGCATGTCGAAATAATGATATCAGTTTGGTTGAACATTATTTGAAAACAATGTCACTAGAAGAAATTATTCAAATGGAGCCCAGTGGATCTACCGCACTACATGCAGCTGCATATCGAGGACATGAAAAGATTGTTGAACTATTACTAAAGAAAGGTGGTTATCATTCATTAGTAAATAAATATAATAATACTCCGCTTGATGAAGCTAAAACCGATAAAATAAAACAAATGATCCGTCGTCGTGCGAATAAAACTCGCTTCGTCAGTGAATCTATCGAATGGATTCTTTCTACAGATAATGCAGATTATCAGGCATACGAATATTCTAAAAAACTGGAAACATATGGCAAAGATCCACACTTTTATAAATTGATTGTTTACATAAAACACAATTATCTTGAAAAGGACTTGCAAAATATTGAGGATATCCATAAAATAAAACAATATTTTGACAAGGCAATAAACAAAAATGATCCTGTTTATCTGCTCAAAGCATATACAGCTGAGACTGGATTTTATTCTACACTCAATCTTCATCTAGCACAATTACAACTTGAAAATTTAACTGATAAAGAAAATTTTAGTCTCGTGTATTATATTGGAATAATTACTTTTCATCCAAGATTTGAAAAATTTTCATACACTGGAATAGTGTTTCGTGGAGTGATGATTACTAACAATGATCTGAAACAATATAAGATAGGTACACGTATTCTAAGTAAAACATTTTCATCGGCATCAAAACAATCGGACATAGCATTACAATTTCTTACTAACGACCGAGATACAGATGATCGATTAAGTACAATATGCACATATGAGATACGTAATCAACGAACTGCATTGGATGTTGAACATATATCGGTATTTCCGGATGAACAAGAAGTACTAATTCTACCATATTCAGCATTTAAAATAATTGATATTAAACAAAACAAAAACAATTTACCTAAAGTTGAAATAAAACTTAAAGAATGTGAGCCATGGTTATAGATCGCACTACACTCTAAAAAAAAAGGTTTTTTACTGAACCCCCGAAAAAGGTTCCGTAGATTTGAAAAAGCTTGCAAATACATTCAAATGCTCAAAAAACGATTTTCTCAGTTCTACGAAACCTTTAAAGGTTCTTCCTGTGGGCACAGG